CGATTCCTGAAAGTCGACCATCAACCCAATCTTGCTTATAACAGGCTTTTCTTCCTCTGATATCATCCACAATACCCCTAAATGGAGTCCTGAGATTCTCCATTTCTGTATTGAAGAGGTAAAAGTGCATTTAGGAAAACAAACACTGAATAGGAGCATAAAAATACGACTACAAGAAGCTCGGATTGCAGTCAGTACTGAACTCCATCCATTAATGGAGAGAAATACGAAATAAAGTATCCGCGATAGTGAGATTCTTCCGTTTCTCGAGAAAATCACACCATAGCAGAAAGACGTGAACATACACACAAATCTCGAATGCTCAAATTCCAATTGCCTATTCAGTTTTCCATAAAAACCAAACATATTAATCCAAAGCGACTCTTCGACCAGAACAGGGGAAAAACAAATCCGATTCATAACGAACAGAATCACAAACTATGCTTAGATGTACATTACAACACAAAGCTGCTCATATGGAAGAAAAAGAAAAAAGAAAAACAAACATGAAAAGTATAACAACATAATAGCTACATGCAAGTGAGCAATGATAAAGGAAAAGAGAAGGCGATTCATCGGAAAATAATGCCGGAAAACTTGCCGGAGATTGTGGAGTTTTACAGCGAAGGAATTGCAGTGGTTCTGATTCAATTGGCGTCTTGTAGTTGTGATTAGTGAAGGACTAGGCAGTCAAGTTTCCGAGCGACGTCTTTAAAAAGACCCGCGAGAATCATGAGTTTTGATTCTCTGCGGCGTAACAAATTCTTGTAACCGTACACTCTCAAGCTGGCCAATTAAACGCTGCGTTCTTCAAAAATTGAGACCTATTAATTCATTTGTTGTACATTAAAATTAGAGGGAAAATAAATAAATTTTTGTATTATTTTTAACTCTAAATGTACGAATCTTGGCTTTAAACTTTAAAAATATTACAAACTTAATGCTCTAATAAAAAATAAAAAAATTGAATTATAAAATATATGCAATTTTGGTAAAGAATTTTGCATTTATAGAAAAAAATAAATTACACGGAAAATATCCTCATTACATAACTCCCGGCCAAAATTAAATTTAGAAGAACAAGAGAAAAGAAGGATCATCGTCTATCATCTACTAAAACATGGGGCTTGATTGATCACGTTCAGAAATTTTTAGGCAGGATTGACATACAAATTCTTATCGTGAGGATTGAGCTGTCAAAAGGAGTTTTACTCGTTTTTTGAATTGGAAGGTAATATTTCTCTGAGTTGTTACGAGCCAAAAAAAGAAAAAATAAAAAGTCCAAATGCTGGCACTTGAATAGAAAGTGAAAGACTTTATTTTATTCGAATTAATGGATATATGAAGGTAAAAGATTGCTAACACGTTCAAATTCATGAAATTAAAATTTTTGGTATAAATTGATACAACCTAATAAATTTACTGTAAGAATTAATTTTTTAGATTTTTTTTTTCTTTTCATTTCATTTTATTTTAAAGTGCTCTGTTGGACTGATACTGACATTGAGAGACGAAACGATGGATACTAGGTGTTGTGCGTATCGACTCGTGTAGTGTTGTAGCTAACGCGTTAAGTATCCCGCCTGGGGAGTACGTTTGCAAGAATGAAACTAAAGGGAATTGATGGGGGCCTGTACAAGCGGTGGAGCATGTGGTTTAATTCGATGCAAAGTGAATAACCTTACCAGGGCTTGACATGTCGCGAATCCTCTTGAAAGAGAAGGGTGCCTTCGAGAACACGGACACAGGTGGTGCATGGTTATCGTTAGCTCGTGCCATAAGGTGTTGGGACTATCAACTTAAATTCACCTAAATAAATTACTACTCTCAACAAAATATATATATATATATATATATATATATATANTTTTTTTTTTTTTTTTTTTTTTTTTTTTTTTTTTTTTTTTTTTTTTTTAAGTAGCAAGAAATTTTATCATGTATTTTTTAAAAAATAAGTAGAGAAAAATAAACAAAAACTCCGGCAGCCAGCCACGTCAACTTGACTTGAATGGCTTGTCGGAGCAATACTTATACTATACGAATAAAGCATTCGTCATCAACAATATCTTCAAAATATTCTTTTGAGATAATTTCAAATAAATATCATATACTCATTCAACACATCATCATATTTATTTAATTTATTCTTTATATTAAATATATTTTAATAAACGAGATCTTTCTATTTAACTTTCATAAAAGTATCAAAAATCACATTGTCAAAAAAAACAAAAAATCTTAATATATGATCAACTTTTATAAATTTTTAAGACTAAGTTTATTAAAAATAGGTTTGTTTAAAAATCGATAGTCTAAATAAAACTTAAGTGTTCGAATATGAATAAATAAATGTGATTAATGTACAATATGAATAAATCTATATTCACAAACCAACCTAGATCATTTTGATATACTTTTGAAAAAAATGATAAGAATTAAAAATATTTTGTAAGGATTAGATATGCAATAAGAAGCAAAATTAAGAGACCAATTTTATTTTTAAAATGGGTCACTGTCTCCTGACCTTCCCTAGATCAAGATCATCTAGCTCGACTTTGACTAACACATAGAGACACTGACCATTTGCCCGTATGCTGGTGACTAGTTCTCGTCCATGGACAATTCTTAATGGCCGAAAAAAATACTCTGATTCCTGTTACGAAACTACATAATAAAAGTGAGGTTAATCCATAAGATGACCTAGATCACTCTTTTTCGATGTTCTTGGTACCTAATTACCCGTGCAAATAGCGCGTAATCCCCACAAAATAATAATAGAACTAAGTTATGATAATCACAAATTTCCTCACCAAAGTTGCTTGACAACTTGCTCCAATTCTCAAAATCTAGAACCTATCAACACAATAATATGGGTTAGATTAATTTCGGGCCAATCGTAGGCACGTTCAACGAGCTCTATCGTTGGGACCCACCAATGAAACCATCATACAATCGACAATCCGACGCAATAACATTGAGCTATACCCAAAGGGGATTGAACAACACAACATCGGTTCAACGATCATGAGGCTTTGTGAAAAGCAGTCAACTAGTTGTCTAGCCAAGCTACTAGGTTCATCAATCCGTGTTTGTTCTTGCTATGTTGATCTCAAGCTAAACCATGTTAGAAGTTTCAATCTAAATTCCCGTTGAATGTGACTTTCATATTGTAGCCATCAAACTATCTTCACACAATACTCGAAGTTCTCGACCATACTCTTTACGTCAATACCATGCTAAAATACCCGAAAACTCAAATTCTAAAACTAATACCTTACGATAATTATACCAAAAAAAAAAAAAGAAAAAAAAAAACTTCCCATTTCTCTCCCACCCTATTTGATTAGGAATCATAGCATTTGAACTCCATATATGTACCCTACAAACATGAGGTTTATATCAAAATAGTCAAAAAAGCAAAGCCTAATTTTCTCAAAAGCTGATGTTCTTATTTGTTGGTTTTTTTAGGTAACATTGGTTCATTAAATTATGTAAAAATCTCTCTCTTCCCATCCCTCTTATACAAACATAGTTTTTTTATGCTAAATTTCTGTATTCTCAACTATATAATTATGTTGGTTGCTTCAAATATTCTTCCCACGTGCTTGCATACCTAAGTCGGTGTTCCATTTATTCAAAGATAGTGATTTAAAGATAGTGATTTGAGTAAGGTTATTCCATGTGTGATGTATGTGTGTAGAGAGAGAGAGTTTTTGTGGTATTTTCCAGGGGAACACGATTCTCCACAATGATGTGATATTGTTAGATAAACTATCATGGTTTTGCTTTGGGCTTCCCAAAATTTCTCGTTGAGTTACGTACTTACGTAAAAACGAATAAACCTTAGTTTCAAGAAAAATATCTTCCACCAAGACATTCACCCCTAAAGCGGAAGCCCTATTGAAAGAAGGTATTAGGAACATATGGAATGTTTTCTACTTCAAGACCAAGTATAAAAGAAAACAAGTAAAGTATAAATAAATTTTATAACTTGAAAATGTTATAATTTAAACATGAAATAATTTCATTCTTTTCATTTATTAAGTAGAATATATAATTTTTAGAAAATACTATATATAAATATATATACTATATAAATATATTAAAGAAAGTAAATAATATTTCTAAAAATATACTAATGGGGATAGTGTTAAATTAATGAATGATAGAAGAGCCCAATAAATTCAAAATAATTGAACGAGGAGCCGTACGTGGGACTTTCATCCAACAGTGTTAAACTCGGCATAATATTCAAGATTCAGAAATGTGTTCAATGTGTTCATATGGTTGAACTGACCAATTTGGAAACATCTTCTATGAGATTGAAAAGTTGGGTCTTTTCCATTTGTTTTTATGTTTTATTTTTGTCCCCCATAATTAATTTCCTTATTTTATGGAAAAAAATGAGCTTTGTAAAAAAAAAAAAATCCAATTTTATTAAATATAATTCCTTAATCAAAGATTAAAATAAAGAAATTTCTGGATTACCATATCTGGATTCTTTTCCCTTTTGAGTTCACATTTTGAAACAGTAATCCATTTTCTAGAAAGTCGTGAGAATTTTTTGCGTCGTTTCTAAAGTGACATTCAATGAATCTTGGGATGGAAATTTCAAACTTAATGATTTTTCTTATTAAAATTTGCAATTATTAGTCATCAAAAAGGATTTGATTGTGAAAAATCCAACATTCAATTTGATTAATTTTTATCCAGAAAGTTCAACATACATTTTTCAACACCAAAAGAATCAGATGACTGAGGACTTCTCCTGTTCATTATGGTGCAAATAATAATGCATTGGCTAACAGTTTCTTCATCTCCTTAGTCCGAACTACGCGACAGCATCACAAAGTTTTCTAAGAGAATCACAAGAGGACTTTGATGTACCATAATAACATCAAGAAGATCAATGGGCAAGTATGAAAAGTTAGTTTTCTAAGAGAATCATGAGAGGACTTTGATGTACCATAATAACATCAAGAAGATCAATGGGCAAGCATGAAAAGTTTAAGACTTGCAATAGAAGTGGGAAGGAATTGTACCTAAAGCCACTCCCATACAGCCATTTCACGGTTCCTGAATCAATTTATTTTTTTGGAAGTTCTTGAAATTACTTTCCAGGATTAATGGGTTTGGTTGGAAGGTAATGGAAAAGAATTGAAATGCCTCCAATTATTTGGATATGCATAGAAGAAAAGCTAAAAAAGAAAAGCAACCCGAACTTCTAGCAGATGACTTACCAATGTCTAACTGACTCGGAAACAACTAAGATTCCCTTTGTTGCTGAAGGAGAGCAAAAAAAAAAAAAAAAAAAAAAAAAACGACCATTAGAAAACAAACAAAACACAGCTTTAAATAAGAACTGCAGCATATTGTGGGATTTGTCTCTTCTAAAAGCCAAAGGTTTATTTTCGAGAAGGGCATGCTTGCAATCAATGGTGGTGGTCATCATCTCCAAAACCATCCGGGGATCCTCCAGGTCCCACCACTTCCAGCTGCGAACACAAGTTCCGATTAGGAAAATTCTGCAAAGTAATTTTGGACACCGGTAGCCCATTCCATCAAAGGAGAAAGTGGGATAACATGGAAGAGAGGCAGATAGAGAAATTCTAATCCCTATTGTTGCAAGGCCATGTTAGAGTAGGTTTACTAGTGGAACACTTGTACATATATATATGTGTGCGCGCATGCGCATACGAAAATATTGTCAATAATTTATTTCTCAAAAAACAATCTTTCGATCTAAGCATTTTTGGTTAAGTGGGCGACAAATATCAAAAAAGAAATTGAAAACTATTTGCAAGATTAGTTAAAAAAACTCTTTTCACAGTTATGGTATTGACATTTTAGTATTTTCACTATTATGTCCTTTCCTTCCAATGGAGCTATACTTCGGCATATGCTGGTTGAAGAATGCCAACTTTTTACTATCGTGAAAATTAGGTAAGGTTGCAGAGTTTGCCCCCACCCACCCACAATGGGGAAAAATATCCAGCTTTCTACCATGTCAACAAAACATAATAAATTAAAATAAATACTCACCACAAAGTACTGTGAGCACACAGGGCATTCATGTGGCACGTCTTTCCTCAGCCGAAACCAGACAACATCATGCTCATCCTCTACAATTGAAAAGTATGCATCAGAAGATTGAAATTCTTATGTGTAATAGAAGAGCACAGAATTTGCCTATGTAACATTTCGTCAGACTCGCACAAAAATGATGAAAAAGCATGGAAAAGGGCGATTGCAAGTACCCACCGCCTTCACCTCCAGGGCATCCAACTAATCTTTCATCATAATATGACTTGATAACTGCAGGTGCTTCCTAAAGAATCAAAAGTATAAGATTTCTCCCAGAAATAAGTCATGCAAGAAAATCTCTTTCATTCACATACTCCAACACAGTATTTCTATGTGTGAAGCACATACTCCATAAAACGCAAAGAAAGTTACAACCTTTTTCTTAGAAGAAAAGAAAAGCCTTGGATAATCACACAACTGATCAGGAAATCAATAACCATAGTGAATAGTTTTTTCTTTTTATAAGAACATAAAAGTGAATAGTCAAAATCATAGACTTGTACGAACTAAACAGAAATTTAATAACAAGGAAGAAACCTCGGCAAAAACCCACTTAGATGGCAGCAATGCACCATAGATCTGCTTAGCATATTGTATCATAGATGCACTTAAACAACACTATTTTTAAATGAGAAACAAAACAATACAATATTGGAAAGGGAGAAGATTCTTCATCCTAACATTTCTCTCTCCAAAGTTGATGTTCTATCATCAGGATAGTGAAAATCAAGGCATTTGTATTCATGGTAATTTTGCAAAGAAAATCTGCTAGAGTTCTCAGTCTCTTCAACCTTCAGTGATGTGAACCAGATATCATCAATGGCCTCTTAACTCATGATTTTTTTATAGAAAAAAACAATTATATTAATTGAAGAACTATTGTGCTTGTCGAGAGAGGAGAGAATGAGACATCTTTTGACAAAGAAAAAAAATCCTCACCAACCTCCCTTATTCTTTCTTTCAATCTCTAACATTCCCTCTGAATGGATGGAATTTTAGAGAAAGACATTAGGAATTCCTTTTGGGAAGGTTCCAATGGCTAAAGGAGTAATCACCTAGTTAGGTTGATGTGGTCTCCCGTCACTCTTTCTCTAATGAATGATGGTTTAAAACATAACATATATCAAAAGGAAAAACATTAACCTACCTCGCAAGTGGTTATGAAAATCTCCCAGGGAAGATATATGGCAGATAGTGATAGGTAGCAAATAAGAAGCAGTGCAACAGGAAATTCACAAAGGGATGTTCCCTATTCTTCCACTAAAAGCCCATGGTGGACGACAGTCATAAGCTTGCTCTAGTGCTAAATGATTACAAGTCTATTGTTCCAATTGTGTAAGAGTGATTCAGTCAGATTTTGATAGGGTAATTGGTAGAATAGCTTCTGACTTAAATACTACCTTCAGTGCAATGTAGGTGGTTGTATCCTTGAATTAAGACTTACGGGATGCGGCTAATCTTTATTCATTATCAAAACTTGCATTTCAAGATAACAGAAAGAACAACAACAGAGAGAAGTCAAAGAGAAAATCATTCTTAGTATCATGTTGAACGGTCTTCATGTCTCCTTAAACCAGGATTCTGAGAGTTCAAACTTCCCCTTCAGGTGCCCTTTCAGTTCCCTCTGTTTATTATATTGTGGTTTCAAAATAACCCTCAATTATCTTGGAGTTATAAAAAAAAAAAAGGTTTTACGGACCCAAGCTTCCTAAAAATTGTAAGGTATATCTTTAGTCAGCTTTCTTCCAAGGGTATACAATATCGGTGTTCAAAGAAGGATCTCTGCTCTTTGTTTTACCCAATGCAACCATTCTTTCCAGAAGAAAAGAAAAGAAAAGAAAGAAAGAAAGATGAAGAATCCACTAAACACCTCTTCTTGAACTGTTCTATCTCTAATTGGTTCTTAATCTCATATTAATTAATTAATATATTGATGATAACAAACCAGATCCTAGTTACTAATAATTTTAGTATTTTGAGATGCTCATAGTGTAGAGCTTGAAATAACGATTCCAACGCCTTTTGAATCACTCAAATTGGAGCGAAAACAAAGATGTTACGACTAAAACAAGAATTAAGCATAATTGTTTATTGGTATGCCTTCTGAATCACTAAGTTCTTCATAATTGTTTATTGTTTTGAATTGAATTATTCTTTTTGTTCTTGATAATTGTTTATTGTTTTGAATTGAATTATTCTTTTTGTACTTGTGTTAATTGACATTTTAAATTGTTCTAAAAAGTGTGATAATTTGAAAAATTAAGCATACTAAAATATATTTTTTTTAAAACCCTATTCACTCCCTTCAAGGGTTGTCATATTGATCCAACAGATAGGCAGAGTTTTCTGAACTTTTTTTTTTTTTTTATGTAAATTGAGTACTGGTGCTTCAGTCAGAGTTTCCCGAACTCTCGGCTTCAGTTTTATTTACCCTTTAATGTTAAGGATTCTATTATGCTAATCATGGTGCGTCAAAGATGAGAGAGACCTTACTTCATGCAACTATATTCCAACTTTAAAAGACACTAAGGAGAAGTCTTCCAGCCAAAGGTCTAAGCCAAGGTTTGACACCCAGGCCCCTCAACCGATGTGGCCATTTCTTGATACATTCTTAAACCAATAAGATTATTTCCTCAAACAACTGTCCAATTACAAAATTAACTTCCAAAACGAGGTGAAAAGCTTCTAACCAAATTGTGCAAACAGTTGAAACTGATATATCCAAAACCAAAAGGCATTCCACCATTGACGAGTTACAAAATGAGTTGAAAATTTTCTAATCAAATTGCGCAACGAATTGAAACTAACATATCCAAAATGAAAAGGCATTCTGTCATTGATTGGTTATCTTCCAAGCATATCCAAACTACAGAGAAATTGCATATCTTTTCAAGTACCCGAAAAAATGTCGAAGTGAAAGAGGAACTGACCCAAAAATGAAAAGATCACAACACAGAGAATTTTAAGCGCCAATTCATGTGCTTTGAAACAATTGATCAACAGTTTAAGGTTCAGACTTCAGAGGAAGGAAACAACAGAGACAGTTGTTGCAGCCAATCACAAGCATTTAACTTTCCAAAACAAAAAACCACCTAAGCCAGATAAAATTAAAATGGTTCAAAAGGAACAGACTTGATTCAAGATGCAAAAGGTAGGGTTAGAACGCAAGCCTAAGATTGTTGGTTATAGCCTTAAAAGGAAGCTGTAAATTCTCTAAATGACTTTATTCTCCAGATTTGATTTAGGTTAGCAGGCTAGTGCAGAACAATAAAATCTTAGAGAGAATGTTAGAGATGAGACAGATATTGAGGAACTTGCCTATTTTTTTGCTTCTAAATGTAGCACAAAGTCAAAGCATTTAGCATTTTACTTCTTTTCTAATTCAAACCAGTTGGGGAGATTTTCTGTTTGATAAAGAGGAAAGAATTCCTTATCTTAGCATCCTGTTACCCGACCTATCTGTATAATGAGCTTTATTTTATTATTTTTGAATTGGTGTTCTTTTCTTTGTGGACATAGTTTTTTTTTGTATGCTCTTATACGTTCTTTCTTTTACTGTATGCTCTTATATGTTCTTTCTTTCATTTTTCTTAATAAAAGCTTGGATTCTTAAAAAATGTTTTTAAAAAAATAGAACCTTCCTAGGTATTCTCAATTACACTGCAATAACAAGCTATGATATGCCATGTAGCATTAAAGAAAGATATGGAATGGATAATCAGAAGAGGAGCGGGAAAAAGGACTGGAAACCAAAATTCAGAACAATCACTTTTCAAATATCTTGAGTGTCTGAGACCTCAACGAAATGGTTGTGTCTGAGACCTCAATGAAATAGTTTAACCAGAGAAGATATCGTGATAGCATAACAAAACTGCAGCTTAAATTCAAGTGAAAGTAATAAACTCAATAAATATTGCTCTCGTCATGCATTGAAAGCTACATGGAATGAACCTTGAATAAAAGCCAAAGCATCCGAGTTACTTCCAACAAACAAAAACAAGAGAAGACAAAATTAATCGCAAACTACACCAACCTTAGTTCCAAAAGGGCCAACAGGATGGTTTATGTCAAGGATGTCCTTTCCCTGCAAAGGTTAAACGAACCGAAATGAGACTCACGTCCAAATGAGAAATACATCCATCAGAGGCCAGCCTATCAAAATATTAACATAAGCCAGAGAGTTTGAAAATGAAAATGAATCGATCAACGAATCTATATAGTTTAACCTGCCTTTCCGAAACTGAAAATTGCAATACCAGACACAGTTCGAAAATGAAAATGAATCGATAAATTAAGGTATAAATTTTAAACTACTCCTTAGTCCGGTACATTTCACATCATAAAATGGGGTGGGGGGAAAGGAACCCGCAACGGAAAGAAATCCAGGTAATCAAGAAATACAATAAATTTCACCTCAAGCGAAGCTTCAAGCTCTTCACGCTCGTGTCCGGTTGCGATTGGCATTACATCCTCAACTTTCTTCACACCAGTACCAGCTAAAAAAATAAATTTAAACACAAGACATCAAGACCACATTCGTGCTCATATTATAGATCCACACATACAGCGAAACAGACCGTAAAACAGTAACAATCCACGAGTATACATTCTAATTAATAAATAACCACGAGACCAATAGTAGATTCACACATACAGTGACACAGACTGTACAATACATAACATTCAACGCGTATACATTCTAATCGATTAACAACCAAACGACCAATTCCAGATTCGCAATCGTATCGTAGATTCTTCATACATACAGAGACATACTATAAAATCCAAATAAAACAGCAAGATCTACCAGAATCAGAGGCGTAATAGCGAGCGAAGAGCGAGACAGGCGCGGAAGGAGAAACATGAGAAGCAGCACCGAGTCGAGTGGCTTTGGAAATGCATCCTAACGGAGCGGATGCGGGCGTCGATGATGAGGGAAGAGATTTGAGGGATTTGAGCTGCGAAGCGAGCAATCTCCTCCACATCGTAGATTGAAATCGGTGATTTCTCCGACTATGATCTCAGGTCGCACCCCTAGGACGGCGAATTTGGCTCTTCCTTTCTTCACTCTCTCGCTCTTCAGTTTCTATGCTTTTGGAAATAGGAGAAACGCGGAACTGGTCAAGAGTAAGAAGCGATGGATGGGGGCAAAGCAAAATGATTTGACACGAGTGAAAATATGTGGCACGTGTGAAAAAATACAAATTTTATTAATACTCTAAATTTAATTAATGTGATTTTAAATTTCAGCTAAATTACTCACTAATTTTAATAAAAGAAAAATCCTTATAAACTAGTTAATTTGAGTAAAATAAATTTTTGTGCATAAATATAAATAAAAAAAAATTATCTATTTTTACTTAAATTTTATCAATTTCATATGATACGCATGTTCTCTCATTTAATTAGGTTTAAACTTAAATTGATATAATTTACTCTAAAGTAAAATTTAATCCAAATTATTAATTTAAAATTATTTTTTTATTGAAGTTGGTGGAAAAACAATACTATAACTAATAATTTTATTTAAAAAGTCATAGATTAATTTTAAGAATAATTTAAAACATAGGCATTAAATGTGGACATTTAAAAATAATATATCTACCAAATTGTAACGTTAGAGTTTTGCTTCATACAAATATTTATTTATTTTTATTTTTTGTTATTTATGATGTAACGAATTTGATATTATGGAAAAAAAGAATTAATTCTTATTATTGAATGGAACTCAACAAAATATTTATTATTATTTTTAAATATTTATTCTAAAATGGGATTTACACACCCAAGTTACAAATTTATTTCTCGTGACGACTAGCGCGTGCCAATAAAGTGAAATTTTTAGTTTTATTTTAATATATAAAAAATAAAATTTAATGAAATGTTATCGTTGGAAGATGAAAGTCCCACATCGGCTAATTTAGGAAATGATCATGGGTTTATATCAAGGAATTCTCTCTATTGGTATGAGGTTTTTAACAAAGCCATGATAACTCATAAGTGGAGTTATTGTAATTTAGTTTTATACTAATTTTAAATGAATAAATAAATATAGGTTGTTTAAAAGTTTAAAATTTCAGGTTGGGCGGAAAATACCTTCTAAAAATAAAATAAAATATATCAAGGAAAAAATATTAAGATATAATATCTACGATGTATTCATAAATAATATATAAAAATAAAATATACGGTAAATCAAATCATGAAAGAAAGAATATTAAGATATAATATCTATGATGTATTCATAAATAATATATCATGTACTTGCAATCGCTGAATCAATAGTGGTTCCCATGCTCATCGTCAAGTGGAGTGTTGTAATCATAAGACGTTGCGATGAATGGACCTCTTGACGTTCTTCCAAAGTTGGTACTTCCATGATACATGTAATAATTGTTAAACACGCCGTAAGATTGAAAATATCTTGCCACAAAAAATGTGCAGTTCTTGAACCATCCCACCCACTTTTCAATAAATATCTTTGGGCTCATAGGACTGTTATGAGTGAAGTTATAGCAATAGAATCCATTGCATGTATTAACGATATGCAGTGGGGCATCACTTTGTTGACACATGATCCATTTGAGCGTACTAATGGATATATGTTTTTCCTGCATCTCCATAAGGTGTCATCATGTTTCCATACTCGTTCTCTATTTGAGCTAAGACTATTGGCCCTCAAGAGGTTGGTTTGTCTACACATACTCACTATTTGTTGTGAAAATTTGCATTTTATTTTTGTAGACTCGGTCGTCAGTTCGTAGTTCTCAACCCTACTTGTCACTCCTATGTCGCTACCTTAAAGACCTAATAGTAATTTTGAAAAGAGTGCGTATTATAAATACCCAATAAATACTCTCCTGTTGATATCGGTATGCATACAATATATAGTAATAACAAACCAAATCAAATGACTAGTCTAATTTGAAAAGCACGGTCACTATGTCATGACTTCCCCTAGATCAAGATCGTCTAACTCAAGCAAATATGAGATAAATGTTTAAAAGAATATTCTTTTTTAGGGTAGGACGTTGTGATTGGAAAAAAAAGGAAAAAAATAAAAGAAATTAGGATCGTCCTTTTTTTGTGGCTGTCCATTTAATTTTAGTTTATGTGTCCTTTTTTAGCTGTCCATTTCTTTTAAAAGTACCAACACTTGAAAAGATTTTCCAAACATACCTTTTATTCTTGAAATGTTTTTTTTTTTTTTTTATAAATAAAATTTTAAAAATATTAAGAACCAAACATTTGTAGTTAGTTCAACCGACCCTATGATGAAATTAATGAAAAATTCTATATAAAAAAAAAAAACATTTTTTGTAAACTTAAATAAACTAAAAATATCACATTTAAAAATGCAGACATCAAAAAACGTTACGGCACCCCAAGTCAGCCGTATTTGACGATCTAACCTTCCAATTGGATTGGAAATTCAAATTTTTAGTCAAATTTATAAATTTCAATTTGGACCAACCGAATTACATCCTTATTTTTAAAAAATAAATAAAGAAAAAATTTTGAATAAAATATAAACTTTAATTAGGACTTTAAAAAAAAAAAAATCACTATTTATATTAAGAAAATTCAGCTTTTTAATATTAGGAGATTAGGTTCAAATATGGTGAGCGGAAGGGAGGAGGGGTGGGTGGGGGGTTGGCTTAGCTTGCAAGCACCACAGACAAGTTCCCCAAAAGCAATTTCTGTTCCAAATTTTATTTGTTTTCTTCCAAATTTCAGTTCCCAAAAGCAATAATAATAATAATAATAATTAATAATTAAATAAGCAGGACTTATTTTTTTTGGGGGGAGCTTGTCTTTTACTGTTTCCGTGTCCTTCACTTCTTTACTACACCGACAAATCCACCTCTCCTTTTCAGAAGGAGTTTCTATTTCCAATGACAATAATTTCTTATTCTTATCTCTATTTATATATATATATATATATCAATTTTGTAATCCTATTTAGATTGAGAATTATTTTTTCTTTTATGTATATCTTATTTTATTGAGTAAAATATGAACATAGATATGTGTAATTATTTTATGGATGAAAATTGTAATGTCTCAGATTAATATATATAATAAATTTTCTTACGTGGCTAGTTATTTATTATAAGATTCATATAAGATGCCTTGAATAAAGTACTTACAAATAAAATATTTATAAACGATTAGAAATGTTATCAAAATTTATATCCAACCATTTTATTGCAATATTTAGTTTTATATAATTAACTATTATTTCTTATTTTATTTTATTTTAAATAAAACTATTAGAATAAAATTTAATACAATTATGATAGTTTATTAATAAAATAAAAAGAATTTAAAAATAATGAGGTATAAAATAATTATTATAATAGAATATTTTAATTAATTTTATTAGTCATAGTTCATTGTTATTAATTGCAATTTTAATTTGAATTCATAATTTAAAATTATGATATTATTAATGAATCAGCGAATTAAAATTAGTCCAGGTTGAAAATTAACTTCCTTTATAAGTTTATTAATCCTAATTAATTAATTTATACTTAAAATATCGTTAACTAATTAATTAATAATTTTACTTAAAAAGAGTAGTGCATTGATTTTATATAATTTTATTTCTCAAAATATTTAAATAAATTATTATTCATTCATTATAACTAACTATATTAATTAATTAAGTATATTCAAATAAAATAAATTAGAGAGAGTATATTTTAGCTGTCTGTGCAAAACCACGCCGGGTGCAACGTCAGCACTACGTGTGTACACTACTGCTGACCTGGAGTCCAAATCGTGGAACCAGTCATCCTACTCCTTGCCAATAGCGGGGTGGGGTGGTTTTTTTTTCCTTTTAATATTTATTATAAAAATAATAGTAATTCCTCTTCTATTTTTTTATTATATTTATTTCACCCACTGAAAAAGAATCAAAATTTGTAAATTAATTATAAAAAAAAAACTTATCCACTTTTACCGTAAAATTGGAGGAGGGTAAGAGATGGTAATCTGAGTCCTCTCTCTGTTTAGGTAATAAAAAATAATCTCTAGTAACTTTTTTTTTTTAACATTTTTCTTAACACGATTTTTTTTTTACCTAGATCGAGTGGGACATCGTAAGTCTGGGGACATAAATTTATTTATTTATTTACAGAAAAAATGAAGAAAAAGAAGAAGAAATAAATGAGATTGTTGTTGTTTTTGGTGGACAAAATAATATTCCATTGTTTTGTAGCTCAAATTGCATAAGAAAAAGGGAAAAAGGGCAAAAAAAGGAGCGTGGCACTTTAATGACCATCTGGCAAAAGCTCACAAATATCCTAAGAGAAAGGGTATTTTCGACATTTCAATTTCCTAATGTGACTTTTATCTTTATTATTTTATTTATTGCTAACCATACATTAATTTCTTTTAACATTTTTCCACAAATTAAAACACACAAAATCTTTATTTTTTAAAGCACAAAAATATCATTTTAGTGTTTTAATGAGTTTTTATAATTTAATTTTTACAATTTTCATTTAAGCTATAAATTTAGGGAATGAACCAAATCAATTATTTTTTTTCCCCAAAAATGAATTAAATTTATTTTTTGTTTTGATAAAAAAAAAATAAAAATTGAATTCACTAAATATTATATTATGATAAAAATCCAAACTTTTTTATTTTTTATTTTTTTATTTTTGGTTGAAAACAAGGAGAGCTAACACTACCGGTTACAATTTGGTCGTAATTTGAACTCATCAAACCCCAAACACTCCGATGAACAATTTTACCCTTAAAATGACTGATAATAAGATGAAAAAAAAAGAGAGAGAAAATTAACCCACTTGCGAGAAAAATCTTGTTTTAATATCATTCCTTCCGTTTTTTTCCGATTAAATTTTTTTTTTTTAAATTTTTTTTTGGCTGTTTGTTCTGTGAAGAGGGTTTTTGATTTCAGTTATTTGTATAAAAGGAAAGATATTTGTACGCTCACCCATCCTTTGGAGAAGGAGATTGCAATTCGTTTGCTATCTTCTTCTTATCTTCCTTATCTCTGCTCTCTTATGCTCTCTTTTTGAAACGCCAATTCATTTGGGGGTTTTTCCAGAAGGGATCAAAGAGAGACAGAGACATGGAAGCTGTGTTGCAGGGCAAAGGGCTTCT